GAGATTTGAGATAAGGAGTTAAACGAAGTAAGAACAACAATGTTCTACTGGAAAGTAAGTTTCTCATGTCGTTGTTGTTGTTGTTTTTGTTGTTGTTGTTGTTGTTGATGATGTTGTTGTTGTAAAAATATATTGGTGGAGGGAGGTGCAAAGGCATACATTGATATGGTAGTTGGGCATATACAGAACAAGAAAATTAAAAATTGTAAGAATAAATACTATCCTAAAAAGAGATCCTAAGGATTGAGGCAGAAGTTATGTTTTCTTGAGTTGATACAGGTGAACGGAAAGACACATTGCAGATCATGCTATCTAAAGACGACAAGGGACAATGTACCGACAGATAATCAACGTATAATAAATTTTGGAACCACTTTCCGATAGAGAATAATTCTAAAAATGCTAAATTTTAATTCTATGGGTTTAATGCCCTTTGCAACACTGTAAGGCCATTTCAGAGGCAACATATCCAAATTTAACAGCCATTTCCAATAGGACCAAGCTTATTTTCGTGTAAAGTGCCTTTCCCAAGTACATGTATACAATGTCGGACTCAGCTGAGCTTCGAACCCACCAACCCAAAATCTCACGACAATGAGTCCGGTAGCTTAACCACAAGACTACCTACGCCCCCCCCCCCTCAACCCCCCAATAGAGAAAAAAAGAATTGGATCACTTTTATTATTTTTTTAAAAAAGTAGTTATGAGCTCAAGACATAATGTATGTGTAATATACAATTGGCAAAGATTTGCACCACATCGTAACAAACGCATAATGAAATAAATCATCACTGGTCAGTTGTAATGCGTAATCTTTACTTTAGTGTATCTCCTCTCCTCTGTCTTCTGTCGTAATCTTGCTTTTAGTATTATTATAAAAAACAATTTTTTTTTTACTGACACTGCGGTGTACAAAAAGCTTCGCCTTCGAAAGTCAGTGTTTCTGTCTAGTAGCGCTGTAAACTAAAAACAGAGACAAAAACAAAACAGTACACCCCCCAAAAAAACCCCAATCAAAAAACAAAAACAAACAAAAACCAGTTGTGGATTTTACTGATTCCTCCCCCCCCTCCTCCTTCCACTCCCGCCTTCCTATCCCCAGGTTTCAAAAGTTTCTTCGAATTTCGACTACTGGTACGTATTAGCAGTGACAAACATCGATTCCATCCTCCATACTGCTAGTTTTAGTTTTAGTAAGCGTTTTCCGGCACTTGCAACACAATTAGGTCATATGATTTATGTGCCGAAGATTAGAGGTGTTACAAAAGAGTAACAAACAAAAAGAGAAAGAAGGAGGGGAGATAAAGAAGATAAATCTAGATGTTTGATAGTAAAGAAGAAGCAAACCACACCAGAGCACCCGCCAACCACCCACTGTGTACTTCTGTCGCCCAGAGAAGTCTGACCAAATGAGGGTATGTGCGATCAAAGAGAGTACACTACGACAATACAGGATGGTTCAATTTATTGAAAAAAACCCCCCCACAAAACAAAGAAAGTAAAAAGAAAAAGAAATTAAAAAGAAAAAAAAAAGTAACGCTCTCGTTTATTGACATAGAAATTTTGAGAGATGATGCCTATGGCACTAAAAAACAAAAAAGAAAAACGTTTTATATCGATTTCGAACTAGATCTACATGTAGTATAATCTAGTATTTTTTTTTTCTAGATCAGTCTTTCGTGATTTTTCTTAGAGTTCATCCTG